GAAGTTGGTGTTAGTTTTTAATTTAAATTTTAATAAACCTAGATGTTTTTTGTTTTATTTTTCAAGTTTGTGTTTTACTTTAGTAAATGAGTTAATTTTTGAATATGCATGAAATGAAATTTAATATAATATAAACAAATAAAGGTTTTCGAACAGTAAAATTCTGGTTTGTTGATATAATTTATTTTGTCCAAAAATGAAGCGCGCTCACCAGGGCAGGCTCCAATCTTTAAATTCTAAGATTTATCTGTTATTTTGCATCCAAATAATTCAATTCTTAAGGATATGTTCAAGTTAATCTTATCTGTCATAATGATAGCAGATTTATTGGGTTTGTTCACACTATCGATAACGGATATCAAAAAATAGTTTATTGGAGTCAATGAGTAAATAAACAACGCAGTAAGTGCTGATGTTTCTATTAGCAGATTTTCCTAGTTTGAATGGTTCAGCAATAAAATATGAAATACTTGTAAAAGTTTTACGACGTGGCGAGTGGCCTGTGCCAAACTTTGCCTGTGCGTTCAAAAATTCTATAATTAAATTGGAAGCCTTAAGCCGAAGGAATATCGATTTTATTGCTTAGTCGGATAACTTGATTAATAATCAAAAGATTCAATTAACTCATTTCGATATTTTTGATAAGAAGAAAAATCTTATCAACCAAAGTTTATGCCTCAGGATAAAGTTAATTAAAACCAAAATTATAATTGAGACGAATAACTGTCAAAAAAATGCTTACCAACAAATCAAATAAAACATTAACATATTTCCCATAGAATTAAATAGATCCGTAATCTAAATTTTATTAACCTTGTAACACTGCAATCTGGCGTTAATTGACGAGAGAATCAAATAGCTGTTTGTTGAAACGCCTGATGCTAGCATCAAATTACATTGACAGGACAACCATAATGAATATTGACAAATTAAATGGCTGAAGGCCCTGCGACAGAATAAAATTGTCAGAGCAAATGAAATTGTCTCTCAAACATGTCCCATAAACGTCATGAAAAGCAAAAATGGGAAATAAAGATCAATATTTGAATACCGAATACATGCTATTACAAAATGAATAAAAGCTGATACTTTGTCATATTTCGCGAGATAAATTGTTGAAAATTCGATAAAATTTGAAATAAAATGCATATTGTTTTCACCTATCTATTATGTCAGCGTGTTCGTGTCACTATTCCTGTGATAACTTTTGAACGGTTCTGAATTTAGTTCAATTTAGTATACATACTTATTTTAGGAAGCTTCGGATTGGTTTACTTTATACCTAAACAAATAAAGTGAAAGTTAAATGAAAGGACCTCAAAAGGTAGTAAACGAACTCATTCAGAGAGGGAGCGAATTTATCTTATTCTGCACTCCAACAAGTTATTGGATTGGTTATAATAATATTACAATTATTATTCAATGCTTCAACATAGTTTTAACATCAGTTTAAATCTTTAAAATTTATTTTTAGGAAACTCTGTATTTACATTACGATCGTAAAATTTACAGTTACGAATTTGTATTTCTATCTCTTCCATGTTTATAGGTATGACGTCTTCGTGTATTATTATTTCCAGTATAAGTTGAAATTGGGTTTAAAGGCAAATCTGCTAATCAACGTTAGGATGGAAAATTTAAATTGTAGGCAACTGAGTTTTAACGTATATGCAAGTTCAAGCACAGGTTTGGTTTGAAACATATTGGTGGAATATTGGTTCAACTTAATTTAAACTAATTTTTTTCAGTGCAACATTGAATGAAATGCCAACATCCATCCATTTTGAACAAGAATTTCTATGAGCATGGCATAACAAAAATTGACATCAGCCTTCCTTATAATGCATTCTTTTGAACCACTATGAAATTGATGCTCCTTATTCGTGTTTTCAGTAAATATTTCAAGTGGCAATAAAGGACCTAATTGAGAATTGAGCCAATGTTAATCCAAATAAGACACAAAAGAAATTTCTGGGAAAATACAAAAAATATTGTTAACGGGCTAGGTTAGGTAGGTCAAAAATGAGTGGGCCTATTACGGCCCGCCACTGCAACTCATTGATATATCGTGGCTCATGCCTATTATTATATTTCTTCATTCATGCCTATTTCCCAATCAAGTCCAGGATAGTGGTTAGAGAATGTTGTTCAGGTCTCCCAGTGGGACCGTTGCCTCACCTAACATACGATGCCTCAGTCTGCCACCTGCCGGACATCCGAAAAGAATGTTTGCAGCTGTCTCCTTGTCCTCCATGCATAGCCTGCACTCAGCATCATCTGCCAGTCCAACCCTGTGCATGGGGTGTTTTAGCCTACAGTGTTCAGTGTATAAGCCGATAAGGGGTTTTCGGCTTAGATCTGCCGAGCTCCAGCATCCTTCCAACCGAGCGTTCTTTCACCGGTTGTCTTATGATTGCCGTTGCTTGTGTTATCCCTGGTAGGTTTAGCCAATGTTCGTAGGCCTTGTTGTCCGCCGTTTCGGTTTCCTCTTTGGCAAGGAGATCCGCTATTTCGTTGCCGTCAAGGCCAACGTGTCGCGGTATCCACATTAGGGTTACCTTGCTTTCCTTCTCTAATTTGCTAAGAGCTTCCTGACAGCTCAAGACTGTTCTTGAATTACAGTAGGTGGAGCTAAGGGCCTTGACAGCGGCTTGGCTGTCAGAACCTATTTTTATGGTTTTGTGAGTTTGGGGGGTCGAGCCTCCTCACACCCGTTCCCTAGACTGATAGATAACCTAGTTTTCGGTTTTGCACCATAAACGCCCGCTCCCTCCTCACTGTCTGTCTTCGATCCATTCGTGAACAGACATAGATCTGCTTTTAGTAGGGCATGCTCATTCTGCATCCACTCTTCCCTTCTTGGGAAAGCTATACTGTGTGAAGTAGGGCGCTTGTTGTGTGTGTTCTTGGCATAAGGTCCGTAGGCATTCCCAAACTGCTATGTGTTTTGATAAACTCCAGCTATTTGGTGCCTTCCACGTTCCCTTTATGTCCAGATATATATGTAAAGGGGAAATTTCTAGGAGAAGCTCCAAGGCTGCTGCTGGCGTAGTGCTGAAAGCCCCTGTTATTGGCAAACAGGCCTGTCTTTGTGGTCCGTTGAGCTTGGTTTAAGCAATAAGCTGTTGCCCCTTTTCCCACCAGAGTACTGAGCCATATGTTATCATCATTGGTCTCTTGATCATGATATATAACCAGTATATTTGCTAGATGGAAGTTCCAGGTAAGCCTTTTATCTAGAGTTATTCCTAGACATCTGACTTCGTTTGCAAAGGATCACCACTCCTCGTAGGTTAGAGGGTATCAGATGGTCAAGCTTCCTTTTGCTTGTGAAGGGCACTACAGTTATTTTGTGCAGATTTATTTTTATATCCTCACTCTGGATGCAAGTATTGTGTCTGTTATATCCTGAAGGGTTTCGGAGAGTCTATAATGGCTATGTCGTCCGCATGAGCCTGCAGGTCGACCTCTTTCAGTTGGATTATGGCCAGCATGTTGTCCACCAAGAAAGACCACAGAAGAGGAGAGAGAGTACCCTCTTTGCGGGCAGCCCTAAACTATACTGTTTTGCCCTGTAGGGTCGTCGTTATATACCTGTTTTCAAGCATCTTGCGAATCCAATCACAGATAAGAGGCTCAATTCCTCTGGAAATAGCTGATTCATTGGGAAAGTTATTAAGAGTGTCGTTCAAGACCAGCTCTATGTCGATCTGGGACTGGCTGATTTTTGTCACCAATCCTTGAAGAGCAAGTTCCGATTTGCCAAGGGTATAACTCAAAGATATTTTTTTGAACAAGTTAAAAATCTCAGTTTCTGTATTGAGTGACATAGATTTCTGGCGGAAGGCCTACCTATAATCTGCCCATGCGCACGATCAAAAACTGAACTCATTTCTTAGATTATTTCCCCGCAGGCCCATATTTTATTGATTTTCGAATAATTTTGGATGAAATTTCACTGCCACAGGATTGATTTACATTTTTTGAAGTTTTCTTGGGAAAGCTTATGTCAAGGTGAATTCGAAAACAATTACTTACTTCCATATGAATTGGAATTTTACTATTCTATCGACTCACACCTGGAGTATATATTATTTGTTATGCAACGACTGTGCTATGAGCGGATTGTTATGCCGTGAAAAACCATTAGACCTCTTTGTCGTTTGAACGTTTATACCAAAGTCGATGACCAAACTATCCGAGAAATAAAAATAAGCCAATTTGATTTGAACTTTTCTCGACTCAAATATATTATCAAATTATATTTTTCGTGAGCTGCAAGTTGGAACAATAATATATTCGAAACTTCTTCATGGGGCATTCTTCATGGTGATTATGAGTTTAGGATCGACCTGCGAATCACAGTTCAATATGTTTATAGTTAATCAAATATTGACTGTAGATAACCAATAAAAATCAAATCAAATTAATTTCTAAAACTTATTTCCAATTACCTACATAATTCCTAAGTTTATATTGAAAAAAAATAAACAATAATAATTAAAACCTCATGTAAAAAGCAAAATTTTCAGCATAATTACTATTGAATATTTGGGGCGTCCAAAACCACAAACAATCCATTCGATATCAAATTTCAAAAAGTTACTTGTTTGAATAGTTCTCATGCAAACGCGCGTTAAATTAGCAGAGTAAATATACACACATTCAAAAATGTATTCGAGGACTTGAAAATCATTTTTTGGGCTTTGAAGATTTATAATTTCATATAGAAGCGTGCTATGGGAAAATCTAATACGCATAAGGTTTTTTTTTTTGTGTGTACCCAAACATAAAAAATATGATAATTCCAAATGTCTAAATGCACGCAGTCTCATTAAACAGCTTATACAATTAGCTATGAAATTATTATGCTATAACAGATTTTAACCCTAAAGCCTAATAAGGAGTTTATAGTAGTTTCCCAAATTAAACCTGGCTACTGTTGAGAAAAAAAAAGGGCCCAAATTATTTACTAGAGAAAAATTAATTCTGACTCTTACCTTGCCATTGGGAGAACTCTTCTTGAATACCCTGAAACAAAAAAGACTGGATTTAGTTTTGCATTAGAATTTTGGTTTGTACAAGTCAGTTTTGATGTTGCAAGATGAAAGTAAAATCGGATTTTAGATGAAAGTTTTAGCTTTTCAGTTAAAAAATGCAAGTGAGAAAAATTTAACTAACCCAATAAAAACTCCTATTTAGATAATGCCAAGTACTTTTGCTCTCCGTTGAATAAATTTGATACGCGGTTAAATTAAATTGTGTTTGTGTCTCAGAGATTGTGGTATTTTTGGTGTCAATTAAACGTTGAGCACATAATATTAGCTGAGGAGCGGCCTCTGTTTTTACCTGCATACAGTAAATAACTAGAAAACAAGCAAGACTTCCTAATCTGTATTTTTTAAAAAAATTTGTAATTAGAGAACTGAACAATGGAAAATTCAACAGTCAAGTAAAATGATGTTACATGATGGGTTACTGTTCTACCGTATACAAGTAATGGTTTCCTTAATAGACAAAAAATCCATAGAAGTCATGATGTCAGATTTTATTGGAATGTGCTCAAAATTGGCCAGCCCAAATCACAAATTCAGGAGGTGAACGAAGAGATGAATTTGAAGTTAAATCTGGCGACGAGGTGAAGGAATCATGAGGTATCGATTCAAGTAAGTATCGTTAGAGAATGAGAATGTAAAATGAGGATATAAAATATGTACAGAACAATCTCGGAGCTCAAGTAGAATCTGAAGAAGTTGGATATACAGAAGAAGAATAAATACAGAGAAAACACAACCAAAATATCTTAAAAAATATGAAGCCATTCCACTGAGAGCAGAATCGTTTCTTGACAATGTTACACAGATGGCCTTCATGTCTGTACAGGGTCTGTTCCTTATAACTAGTGCGGCTTCTACAACTTGTGGTGTTTCTGTATCTCTATGGCTTCTCTGTGGAGTCTGGTGTAAAAATGTTTGGTTCTATCCAATGCTTGAGTCTGGTCGAAACGGATAACATGGTTTGTTTGTGTTAACACGTGTTCGGCGATTGCTGATCTATCTATTTGTCCCTGCTGACAGTTTCTTTTGTACTTTTTGACCCTGATGTTAATAGAGCTTTTGGTTGTTCCTACATAGACACATCCACAAGAGCAGGGAATTCTATAGACGCCAGCCGTTTCAAGAGGCGCCCTAGGATCCTTGGCCGATCTTAGACTTTGATGAATTGTTCTTGTGGGCTTGTAGATGGGCTTAATGTTGTGTTTTTCTAGCGTTCGTCCTATGCGATCTGTGACATTTTTGATGTAGGGAAGAAATGCTCTCCCTGCCATCTGCGCTGGTTTCTTATTATTTGTGCGCTGTTGCCTCCGTCTTATAGCTCTATTTATATCCTGCTTGGAGTACCCATTTCCTTCAAGTGCTGATTTTAGGTTGTATCTCGTCCTGAAGGTATATGGGTTCACAAATCCGGATTGCCCTGTCAGATAGAGTTTTAAGGACTCCTCTCCTTTGCCTAGGATGATGATCGGATTCCTTGTTGAGGTATCTGTACGTAAGCGTCGGCTGCCTATATACGCTGTGTCCCAGTTTACCTGAGGGTAATCTTTCTAAGAGGACGTCGAGGAATACAATTTTGTTATCCTTCTCAACTTCCATCGTAACTGTATCCTTCTATTGAGTTTAGATGATTAAGGAAGTTTTCAAGCTCTGCCTGTCCATGGTTCCAAACAACAAAAGTGTCATTCCAACAAGTAGGTTTCTTTGTGGCCGTTCGTAGTGCCATTTGTTCTAAGTGTTCCATGTAGAAGTTGGCGATAACCGAGCTGAGTGGACTCCCCATTACGACTCCATTTATCTTCTCAAAGAATTCATTTTGCCATTGGAAGTACGTCGTCGTCAAACACTGGTGAAATAAGTTGTTGATTTCTTCCAGAATAACATCTTTCAGATACTCTAAGGCCTGATTTACTGGTACCTTGGTAAACAGCGAGACGACATCACAACTAACCAGAATGTCATTTGGTAGTAGAGTGATGTCACTGATCTTTTTGATAAAATGAGTGGACTCTTTAACATAAGAGCTGGTGAAGTATTTGGCTATGCTGTATGTGGGCGAATCTATTGCACTTACAATGGGTATGAGTGGGTTACCTGTTTTTTGAATCTTTGGAAGCCCATATATTCTAGGTGGTAAGGCCTCAGATTTGATGAGTTTCCTCATGTCCAACGGTAGTGTTCGGACGAATTGATTGGTTTTTCGCAATATAGAAGCAGTGGGATTGCGCATCAGCTTTCTGTAGGTAGAGGGGTCTAGTTCGGAAATTTTTGATTCATAGTCAGTCACATTCATGATTACCGTTTCGTTTCCTTTATCCGCAGGCAGGACTTCTATGTTCTTGTCTGTATTCAGGCTGCGAATAGCTTTCCTTTCCCCGTATGTCAGATTGCACTTTGGAGGTTTCGCTAGTCGTAGAATCCTAGATGATTCATTGCGTATTTCCTCCGCAGTGGTTTGAGGTACGTATGCTGGCTTCCACATTTGCTATGATATTTTCGAATGGCAGGTCTTTCGGTGTTATTGCAAAATTGCCTCCTTTTCTTAGAACACTGGTTTCCGTATCAGTCAGAACGCGTTGGGTCAGGTTGACAACTGTGCGATCATCGCCTGTGGGTTTCGCAGTGTTCAATGGTTTCAAGGACTCAAACTTATTTACCAGTTTCTTAGTTGTTTTTGCTAGTGTGGCTTCCATAAGGTTATACGTCATTCGGTCAAATTTGTCCCAGTCACTCCAATACATGCTCTTGGATAACCTTTAATACATGCTGTTGGATAACTTTTGGTTTATCGATAGAAGATCCTTGTCCATAGCTGCTAGGTCTTTCCGTATTTGGTGAATCCGTTCCCGAAGCAAGGCTCGTTCCGCTCGTTCGAAAATTCTGTTGGATTGGGAGGAATTAAAAATTCTTTCGAATCTTCAGGAATTTCTGAAGATGTCTACCGCAGCAATAGACGAAACGTTAGGTAGAAATATTACTCGACTACGACATTATAGCCCGGAAAAAACTTTTACACCATATATGTTGACGTTTGGTTCAGCTGTTTTTGCGTTATTTAAGTTTGAAATTGCATTAACCAACCCTCACCATTGATATAAGGAACCTAGAACAGACCCAATTTAGGGTAATGAAAATGCATTTTTGAACCTAAGTTAAATAGCGTAAAAACAGCTGATATAATATTTGGAATCGGAAGAAAAAAATCTATCATTCTATTTTCCAAATCAAAAATGGGAGAAGAGGAAGCTCTCAGTCTTCTCCCATCGTACTTTCCTTCATTCTATTTTTGATTAATATTTTATTTTCAAACTCCATTTACTGGAAACAACTTTTCTGGCTTCAACTATTTTTTCTAGTAATTCTTTATATTCTTTCATAGGACAGCCATTCTTTCATTTTCTTCAACAGTTGGATTTCTTTTTCGAGCGTGGCGATTTTTCTCTGGTGTTCGAATTTTATTCTGGTTTCATCTGATTTCATGGTTTCTGACTCCTTCTTCTTCGCTATTTTCTATATCGAAACCTAGAATGGCCAATTCTCTTTGATTCTACTTCAGTCGTATTTTGGATTCCTTCTTCATAATACTTTCTTCTTCTGGTAGAGTTTGAAATTCCTTTTCAGCCTCTTTTTTTTCTATCCATCCCAAAAACAATCATTAATTAGGTATATAAAGTAGTTATTTTTGCCGTTTTCAAATTGTTTTTCCTAATTAAGAAAATTAGGCATTCTTTTCTGCAACGAGGTATTTTAATTTGTTAGAAATTGATTGTTTTGATCTAAAGCATGAGTATTATTTATAATCATATTCCAAGTCCGTTTAAGGCAAAACGTAAATGCTCAAATCGCGAGAGAACCCTTCCAGGAAAACATTATAAGGAGTCTTGGTTAAAAGGCGAGTTAGAAGGTCTTTATAATAATTTATGAAACTTTTTTCTTTTGGGGTCTATTGTGATATGGAACAATAAAATTTCATAAAGACGAAAATATTATTCCTGAAATTACTTTGTAATGGCCCTGTAATTCGTGTGATATAAAAAATTAGTTACAAAATTCACGTTGTTAACAGTAGGAAAAAGCGACGAATTATTTCACTCAACAATAGTATGTAATAATTAACAAATCCATTGTGGGAATTTACATTTACAAAAATTATATAGGCCTACACCATTTAAATTATTCATGAGTTTAAGTTTTCTTTTGGATTGTACTATGGTTAGGTTAGGTTGGGTCGAAAATGAGTAGGCCTATTATGGCCACTGCAACTTATTGGTCTATTGTTATGCTCATGTCTATTTATATTTCTCCAATCATGCCTAATTTCCTAATGAAGTCCCACCTGAGATATGTTGCCTCAGTCTGCCACCTGCCGGATATTCGCAAATAATGTGTGCACTGTGCAGCTGTCTCCTCGTCATGCCATAGCCTACACTCAGCACCAGCCAGTCCAACTCTGTGCATGTGGTGTTTAAGCCCACAGTGTCCAGTGTATAAGCCGATTAGAGTTTTCAGCTTAGTTCTGCCGAGCTCCAGCATCCTTCCAACCGAGCATTCCTTCACCGGTTGTGTTATGATTGCCTTTGCTTGTGTCATCCCTGGCAAGTTTAGTCAATATTCGTAGGCTGTGCTGTCCGCCCAAGTTTTAATAGTTTGATTTGCCATGTTATGGGCAATGCCCAGCACTGGCTCTTTGAAGTTGGTTTCGGCTTCCCCTCTGACAAGGAGATCCGCCATTTCGTTACTCTCAAGGCCAGCGTGTCCCGGTATCCACATTAGAGTTACTTTGTTTCCCTTTCCTAATTTGTTCAGAGCTTCCTGACAGCTCTAGACTGTTCTTGAATTACAGTAGGTTGCATTGTTCCCTAGACTGATGAATAACCTAATTTTCGGTTTTGCAACATAAAAGAGACCCACTGTCTCTCTTCGATCCATCAGTGAACAGACATAAACCTGCTTTTAGTAGGGCATGCTCTTTCTGCA